CGAGGTTATTACTTTCAGAATATCTGAGGTTATTACTTTCAGAATATCCGAGGTTATTATTTTCAGAATATCCGAGGTTATTACTTTCAGAATATCTGAGGTTATTACTTTCAGAATATCTGAGGTTATTACTTTCAGAATATCTGAGGTTATTACTTTCAGAATATCTGAGGTTATTACTTTCAGAATATGAGGTTATTACTTTCAGAATATCTGAGGTTATTATTTTCAGAATATCTGAGGTTATTACTTTCAGAATATCTGAGGTTATTATTTTCAGAATATCTGAGATTATTATTTTCAGAATATCTGCCAGATGAAAACTATCCATCCTCATCCCTGTTTTAAAAAACCTCTTACCTTGTTGCTGGTTTGCAGGGGACAAAATGGGGGTGTCGGAAGTGCAAACAGCCTCCTTCGTGTGTGACACCCCCCCCCCCACGCCCACGTAGTACCAAGAAAAGGCAAAACGGGAAAGGTAGTGTAGCTCGGTTTTTATTTATGTCCACAAATATTTCAAAAAAATTACAAAATACTCAAATGGAGAGAACACAGAATTCACAACTCCTGGGTTTTTTTTTTCTTCTTCTTCTATATCCTGCTTTACACTGTGTTACCCCATGGCAAACTACTCATATATACACTAAGCCTCAAGATATATATAAACGTAGTTGTCAGAAGGGAGAGCTTGAATAAGGACAACACTGAACGAAGAGACGGGTTGGTGAAATAAAACGAACGAACGAAAATAATGATCCACCCCAAACTAGGAGAGTGGGGCAACCAGAATGAGAAAAAAAAAGAAAAGGAAAAAAAAGAAATGTGTTGTTAAAACAAAACAAAAAACGGAGAAGGTTCTGCAAAATGTTAAACCACAAAAGGGAAAAAAAATCGGGCGGTTGCAACAGAGAAAGGCGATTGCTAAGAGATTGGGAAGAAGTAACACTGCGAGTTAAAAAGTTTTCCCACCCTGGAATGATTCAAAATATTAACTGGAAAATTGGAAGGGTGGGTGGGAGTTCAACAGGATGGTATCTTTGACTTGAGTGTGCAACTTCTGTTTTCCGCGTTTCCCAAAAGGGGATCTTACGTTTAGGCAGATTCCCCGAAGACTCGGGAGGTTTACCTGTTGAAATTAAGATTTTGCTTTTCTCTTCCACGAACGAACAGGAGACGGAAGAAGGATGTTCACAAATTACTGGGGGCTATTCTGCTGTTGTTGTTTTTTTTTTAGTGTTTTCCACTCCAGAAAAGCGGATGAACTTTTCAAGATTCCTTCACTTTTTTTTTTAGCTTGTCTTGCTAGTCGGTGGGGAAAAAAAATACGGTTTTGTGGGTTTTTTTGCATCTGACTTGCAAAAGAAATAAATAAAATTTAAAAAAAAGTTTTTTCCTGCTTCTCAGTCCCATTCTCTTCCCCCAAAGGCCAGATTTAACTGTTTGTATCTCCTGCAAGTAAAGGCAAGGGAGACCCATCCGATCGCCAACGTGGATTGAGGTTTAATTCCGGGCTGGGTGAGATCACCCCAAAAGACACCGCCACCCCCCACCCCGAGCCAAGCCAAATCTATCTTGTGAAACCGAGATGCAGGTCTGTGCTGGGAATTTTTTCTTTTTAACCTTTAGGGCGAAAGGGATGATGGGGGCAGGCTGCAAACTGCCATCAGGAAGGGAGATTCTGAAGGATTGGGAGAGGGTATCCTGAGAAAACACAGGTGATTTTATTTTTTAAAATGGCCTTTGCACCAGAAATCTTGGCTTCCCCCCTGCCCCCCCAAAAAAAAATAAAGAGGGAGGGGAGAGACACGGGGCAGCAAAGGCTTCCGACAGAAGCAACGAAAAGGGGAACTGGTGACGCAGGCACACGTTTCGTATTGGCCTCCCAATTTAAAAGCTTGTCTGACGTTAACCGTGGGAAGGGCGAGGATTCACAGTGCGAGTCCAGCAACGGCCAGGTAGCTCAGCTGGAGGCTGGCGTGAACGATCTCGCGAAAAGGCAAGTCTTAACCAAACGCGTTCCTGAGAGTGTTGCCAAAAATTCCGATTTTATTCCGCTTCCCGACACAACCCAGAGGGTAGACTGAGGCTGGAAGGGAGGAGAGAAACCTGCCCGAACAATCGTGCGTGCCCACGGGCGACTTAAAATTTATATTTACAGCCAGCATTTTTTATGCATAACCGGTTTGAAAGCAGCCTACTGCTCTGGCCAAGCCTTTTTTAACCTTTTCTCAAACGATTTAAATTGATGGGCTGGCAGAAATGATCCACAGGCCCAAATTAAGAAGGGTATGGTAAAAAAATACCTTCAATGTTCCTACGCTGTTGGGATTAAAAAAAAAAAAAAGCAATAAAATCAGAAAAAGGAGTGTGGTATGTAAAAGAGGCACCTCCAGGGATGAGGTGATGTACCCACAATCTGGAAGAGACAACTGCTTTTGTAACACAACCAGCTACTGAAGGAAATGGGAGGAGAATGTTTATGGAACGTTAAGTAATTAAATAAAGAACATTGCACATGTAACATGTGTGCAAAAAATAAAATCAAAACTGTGTTTTGTTTTTTTTAATATTATCCCTGCAACTCCTTTTAATGCTTTTGCGCTCCGACCAGCCGTTCTGAAATTATTGACTTTATGGTGCTCCCCTTTTCATGAATCAAAGGATCGCTTATATATATATATATTCCTCTTATTTGTTTAAAAAATCAAGTCTATATTCTCGTGAAACAGCAGGTTTTAAGAAGTAGATGATTTTATGATGAGAGAGGAAGGAAGTCGGGGCTGGAGAAGAGGCAAAAAATAATAATTATTATTAATAAATCAGGAATTCATGAAATTATAATCATCTTTTTAAAACCCCTAACCCCTCCCCCGAAAAACTTATTTACAGACTTAAAAAGCCATGCTGCAAAGCTCTCTTTTAAAATTATGAAGTTTGCCTACAATGTATTAAAATAAAAGTAGATTTTTTTTTCTTTTTTTAAAATTCTATTATAGCACTTGGATTTTTTTTCTCCGGAGGTTTGTAAAGCCACTAACTTGCGATTCTCGGGTATTTTTTTTATTTTTATTTTAAGTATATATATATATAAATTGAATATACTTTTTTTTTTATGCACAGTGGCTTGCATTAGAGGTTGTGAATCTGAAACTAGCACCTACTCAAAAATGAAAATGAAAAAAATAAAATAGAATAAAAAAAAAACCAACAGCCAAAAACATACCAAACCAATAAGAAATTGTTTGGATTAATTTCTCTCCCGGTTCTGTTTTGTTCCTCTTCTTCCTCCCATTCCAAAAAAGGAAAAAAAAAAAAAAAGGGAAAAAAAGAAAAGGCCTTTTAACAGGTTTAAGTCATGCAAGGAGACTCCTGAACTGGTCTTTTGAGAAATCTTTCCTACAAGTGAATACTATACAGAACGTATGCACCAATTCACGTCTCGTGTGAGGTTTGGCTTTCGGGCGAAACTGATGGGGCTGCTGTGTGTTTTCCACCGTGCGAAAAGAGAGAAGAAGGTTCTTTCCAGCAGTTCTCGAGATTCAAACACATTCCACTGCTTTCTCCCCCCACGAGGACTAGGAACTTGAGTAGTCAGCGTCACAAATAAATAAGGTATTACAACTGCTTGTCGCCCTCTTTCTTCAGACGGCTGGAAAAAAAGAGAGAAAAAAAGCAGGAAGTGAAAAGCAAGCGCGGGGCGGGGGGGGCAGTGGGGGGGGGGGTCCAGCACGCGTCCCTTTACCTGTAATAGTCTTCTTGGCTGGGAAGATGCCCCCCGTGGATGTGGGGGTGCCCGTGAAGCCACTGCTGCTCCATGGCGAGTCGCTGAAGCTCTGCCGACTGGGCGTGCATAGCTTGTAACTGATGGGCCGCTGACATGGGAGGAGGGATGGCGCCAGGGAGGTCGCGTGGGTAGGGGGCACCTGGGAGAAAGAGGGAGAAGGCATCTCCAGAGACGAGCAGGGCACGGATCACCCCTCCCCCCTCCCGGGGTCTTCCGTGTCCCATCAGTGGGCATACCGAGTGTTCTGACGGGAAAAAAAAACACAACCCTTTTTTATTACGTGACTGTGAATTCCTCTCATTCACATCCAGCAAAGCCTTTCAAGGGAGAATTTACAGTCACAGACCTTATCTGGCTTGGAGAGCTGCCAGGCCGATATCTTCAAAACTTGGCAAGGAGTCTCAGAGAGTCACGAACCAATTAGATGAACTAATTGTCTCCTGCAAACTCCACTCCCCTTTCGCTCCTCTTTTATTTCCCTCTGGGAGGGGCCGTTCATTGTCCACCTGTGGCTTTACTCCTGAGTCGACCCTTGTTCTTTAGTTGTTCCCTTCTCCTGGCAGCTTACACTGGGAACAGGCTCCAGCTGTTCTTCTGCCCCACTGATGTCCAACTCCGAAGGCAGCTGACAACTGTCAGACAGCCCTGGCCCTCTCTCTGCCTCAATGCAGAGCCCTCATCAGAGCCGTCCCCAGACTCCAGGACTGGCCCACGTTCCTCCGCAACCTCCTCACTGTCTGAGTCTGCCACTATCTCTGCTGGCGGGCCACAACACCGAGTTGGCTTTATGGGGAAATCCATCTAGGGATATTGACCATCTCCTCTGTGGTCTGCCCTCTTGCCCGCCCAACCCCTAATGTGGCTGGCCTGATAGGGGCAGGTGGGCATGTTGTGTGAACCTGGCAGGTTGCATCCCCGTCCCCCCACTCACCGAAGACTGGATGCCGCAGCATTTCATGCTCGTGAGATGGCTGTCCTAGCAGCGGGTTGGGGATGGTACCAGGAGGGTAAGGGAAGCGTGCCAAGTGCGGTCCAGCGGCTAGAGGGTCCACGAGGGGGTGAACGGGTCCGGCTGAGCCTGAGAAAGGGGATGGGGCAGGAGAAGGGGGTGGAGGAAAAGGGAAGAGTTACCACCCATTTAGAAACTCAGACTTTCCATCCAAGATCAAAATCATCCTCATTACAGACAGTCCTTAATTTACGACCGCAATTGAGCTTGAAATTTCCGTTGCTAAGCAAGACAGTTCAGTGAGTTTTGCCCCTATTGCAACAGTTATTCAACGAATCAATGCAGCTGTTAAGTTAATGACACGGTCGTTAAGCGAATCTGGCTTCCCCATTGACTTTGCTCAACGGAAGGTCGCAAAAGGGGATTGCGTGACCCCCTGGGATTCTGCAACCGTCATAGATACGCATCTAAATTTTGATCACATGATCCTGGGGATGGTACAACAGTTGTTAAGTGTGAAAAATGGTAACAAGTCACTTTTTTCAGGGTCATCGTAACTTCACTAAACAAATTCACTAAATGAATGTTGTAACTTGAAGACTACTTGTAGCTGGGCATAAATGGAATTGATTAGAAAGCTTCTCTCTGCTGAAAAGTCATCCCTTACTTCTCTGCCCAGCATGTCTGAAGTGGCAGCTGCCTGTCAAACAACCCTTAATACTGTATTTTTTGGAGTATAAGACCCACTCCCCCCCCCATAAAAGAGGGTGAAAGTTTGGGTGCGTCTTATACACCAAATGTAGCCCCGCCCACCCGCCGGCCCCCTGGAAAATGGGGCTCGCGGAGGTGGCAATAGGCTATGGCAATCCCTGCAGCCTGAAACAGCTGATCCTCTGAAGGTTGAGCCAACCAACAATCAGCTGCTTGTGCTGATCAGGCTGGGCTGAAGCTGAAATTGAAACGTACTAAAAAGGTAGGTGTGTCTTATAGTCCGGAGCGTCTTATACTCCAAAAAATACAGCCAAAAAAAAAAAAAAGGGGGGGGGGAACAAGGGAAAAAGGTTTTCCTTTTTTCCTCAAATAAAAAAGTTTTCTTTGAGGAAAAAGGGGAAGCTAATTTTGACAGGCAGGGAAAAATTCCCGCATAATTTGCTTTTATTTCTCTTCCTCTTCTTTTCCATCAACAATTCCACTCCACTTCTCAAAGCTTTAGCAAACTTAACGCACAACTCAGGGCCCCTTGCAAGAGCTAGATAGACTGGCCCTGGAATAAAAGAATAAAAATGGCATTTTTTCCCCCTCTCTCTCAAATATATCCATTGGCAAGTTATAGAGCTACAGGCACCAACTGCACTATGTTACAACATCAATGCTCGTACCAAAGCCAAGGAAGGAAGGAAGGAAGGAGGGAAGGGAAGAAGAAAGGAAGGAGGGAAGGGAAGAAGGAAGGAAGGAGGGAGGGAAGAAGGAAGGAAGGAGGGAAGGGAAGAAGGAAGGAAGGAAGGAGGGAGGGAAGAAGGAAGGAAGGAAGGAAGGAAGGAAGGAAGGAAGGAAGGAAGGAAGGAAGGAAGGAAATTTGTAGCTCAGGGTTGACTTGAGGCGTCCTTGATGCTCTCTGAACTGGCTTGTTTTTCTTGCAGACGTTTCATTACCCAAATAGGTAACTAGTAAGGAATGAGGTTTGCTCTCAAGTTTATATTCTAGTGGCGTGCTCTGGCGTGATCTTAGAGGTGCTTTCGTTAGGGCTGTTTACTGTTGGCTTGTATGGCAGTTCCTTGATTGTTGGTCTGATGTTAATCTGGAGGTATTCCATCTGGATTAACATCCTGGAGGTCCTCATTTGGGTTTTCTAACAAGGGGGGGGGAAATTGGGCAGAACCCCCCCCCCATTCTCTCCCTGCTGAGGCATTCTTGTGGCTGATCACCTTTAGGCAGGTATTTTCTCCAGACAGTTAAAAGGAGAACATCTAGCAAAAAGAAGCTGCTACTTTAAAGGGATCCCTGAAACTCAACCCTTCTGTGTGTCAAAACAATGCCACCTGCACAGTCCTGTCCCCCCCCACGGGCACAGCTACTGAGGAATCGCAGTTTTAAAGTTTCCACAACTCGCCCCCCCCCCAAAGGGAGCACACACCTGGGGGATCAGGTCTCTGAGATCTGAGCAGGTTCTGCCTTAATCCAAACCCCCTCTCTCAATCTTCAACGGATAGTTAGAACTGCAGGAAAAAACCATGGCTACCAACCTGCCGTCTATGGAGGACCTGTCTACTGCACGAGTCAAAAAGAGGGCTGGGAAAATATCTACAGACCCCTTGCAACCTGGATATAAATTGTTTCAACTCCTACCCTCAAAATGATGCTATAGAGCACTGCACATCAGAACAACTAGACACAAGGACAGTTTTTCCCCAAAACGCCATCACTCTGCTTAACAATTAATTCCCACAACACTGTCAAATAATTTACTAAGACTGTATTACTATTATCCTTCTCTTCCTTACTAGGGTCTATCTCTTCCCACTTATTACTATAACCATGTTGCTTGTATCTTTCAATTTATATTGTTTTTGTTTCTTAGTATGATTTGATATATTAGTAACTCTGACTATCACTAAGTGTTTTATCTTTTTATTCTCAATGAATGTATTTTATTCTCCTTATGTACACTGAGAACGTATGCACTGAAGACAAATTCCTTGTGTGTCCGATCGCACTTGGCCAATAAAGAATTCAAATAATTCAAATTCTATTCTATTCTATTCTATTCTATTCTATTCTATTCTATTCTATTCTATTCTATTCTATTCTAAATTATTCCATTCCATTCCGTTCCATTCTAATTATTCCGTTCCGTTCCGTTCCATTCCATTCTATTCTGAGAAAGGGCCCTGCGGCATCAAACCTTGGGATGACCATTTCCACAAGCGTCGCACCAACATGTTAACTCATCAACTAGCATCTTTTCTCTCCCATTGATGCACCCCAATCGAGATCCCCACCTCCCTATGTCCACACCTCCTTAGGGGCTTCTGTGCACCCCCTTGTGGTTTCCTTCTCTCAAACAGGACACCTGGCAGGACCAAGAATTGACTGAACGACCCTGGGTCCTCTTTCAACCTGATTATCGGCCTGCAGATACAACCACCGCTGCCCTCCTGGGTGCTCAGGAGCTGCCAACACAGAGTGGTAAGCTACGTGCAGAGGCTGTCAACCCTGAAGCTGGCCTGGCCGAAGCCATCTTGCTGCTTCAGTGCTGCCACACCGTGGTTTTTCCAACGCCATTGTAACTTGGAAAGCCGAGCAGTAACTGCACCAGCCTCAGGCTGGGAGAGACGTGGCAACGCAACTCGTCCCGATGTGCCAGTTCTCTGCCCATCCGAGGATACCTCCTTGCCCGGGGACAGTCCTTGGACTCAGTCCAAGGGACGATGGGAGATCCCCGGGGCCTCACCTTGATGTAGTGGGTCCTGTTGGTGGAGATGCAGATGTGAATGGATGTGGGAATGTTGGTGATGATGGGGCGTCACGTTGAACATCTGGAGCCTGGCCAAGGATCGTTGGTGAGGGACGCCATGCGCTCGGCGTGGATCCTCTCGGCAGCCAGTCTGTCCGGGTAGCTCATTTCGGGCCGTAACTGAGGGCCGGCTAAAGCGAGTCTCTCCCTCTCCAGAGGGTTAAGCCCAGGGTGGAAAGAAGCGAAGGGGTGAGGGCCTGCAGTCGGGGGATAGTGAGGGCTCCGTGACGGGCAAAGTGCTCCATGGGGTTGGTGGCCGGGTGGAGGGCGTCCAGTTCGGGAGGCTTCACCTCGAAACCCGGCTTCATCCTTTCCCGCAGTTCCCGCTCCCTGATCTCCCGCTCCCGCAGCTCCCGTTCCCGCAGCTCCCGCTCCCGGAGGGTGGGGTCCACGTTGTAGAGGCCCGGCATGTGGTAGGCCAAGAGCGGGTCGGCGGGATTGAGGGGGACGAAGAAAGGGTGGTTCCGGTTGGTGGGGGACATGACGTGGGGACGCGCGTACTCGCTCAGCGTCCGTAGGGCCGGCGTGTCCGGACCGATGTAAGGGGGCACGGCCGCAATGGTGGTGGGAGGCGGTTCGAAAGACGGCCTCATGTGCGCTGGACCGCTTAGCTGAGATTCTCCGAGACGACCGTCGTGGGAGGAACTGGATGCTTTCTGCGGGGGGAAAAAGAGAGAGGCTCAGGGCAAATTCAAAAAGAAAACCCCAGCCCAGATGTTTCCTACTCTCCCAATTCTTCCATGGGAGGTATTGACTACGAGCAACTAAGATGATTAAAGGCGTGGAGATAACATGATACGGAGAATGATTGCAGGAATTGGTTATGCCTAGTCTAGAGAAAAGAAGGACTAGAATAGAATAGAAAAACCAGAGTTCGAAGGGACCCTGGAGGTCTTCTAGTCCAATCCCCCTGCTTAGGCAGGAAACCCTACACCACTTCAGACAAATGACTGTCTAATCTCTTCTTAAAAACTTGACTCAGCCTTCCATCCTTTCTAAGGTAGGTAAATTGAGGACCCAGTTGTGAGGGCAATAAGCTGACTTTGTATAAGAAGACTCCCTCTTCTTTGGAGCAGCCCCTGAAATATTGGAACACTGCTATCAGGTCTCCCCTAGTCCTTCTTTTCACTAAACTAGACATATCCAGTTCCTGCAACCGTTTTTCATATATTTTAGCCTCCAGTTCCCTAATCATCTTTGTTGCTATTCTCTGCACTCTTTCTAGAGTCTCCACGTCTTTTTTATAATATGGTGACCAAAACTGGATGCAATATTCCAAGTTTGGCCTTACCAAGACCTTATAAAGTGGTCTCAACACTTCACGTGATCTTGATTCTATCCCTCTGTTTATGCTGCCTAGAACTGTGTTGGCTTTTTTGGCAGCTGCTGTACAGTACTAGGGGAGACATGAAGATAATAGCAGTCTTCCAATATCTGAGGGGTTTCCACAAAGAAGAGGGGGTGGGGAGTGTCAACCTATTTCCCAAAACACCTGAGGGCAGGACAAGAAACGACGGATGGAAACTAATCAAGGAGAGAAGCAACCTGGAATTAAGGAGAAACTTCCTAACAGTGAGGACAATTAACGAGTGAAAACCTTCAGAAGTTGTGGGTCTCCCCTTCCTTTTGGGGTCTGATTTCAGATTTATTTATTTCAGATTTCTATACCACCCTTCTCCTTTCGGACTCAGTCCCCACCACCCCACCTTCGCAAACAAGACAAAACCTACCGCCACCCTCTCGGCCTCTCTCTCGCGCTCCCGTTCTCGTTCCCTTTCCTTCTCTTTCTCTTTCTCCCGTTCCCTCTCTTCTCTCGCTTTCTGCTCCGCTTCCCGCTTGGCTTTCTCGATCGCCTCTTCTCGCTTCTTCGCCAGCTTGGAGCCGGCCAGGGGCATGAAGTACAGATCCGTCCTCGCGCAGGAGTTGTAGCCGCGGTCCAGGTGCTTGTAAAACCTGCAGGATGGACGGGGAGGGCGGGATGAGAAACTAAAACGATCGGCGCAGGAAAAAAAAAAGCAGCGGGATCTTTGAGCGTGAAAAAGAGATGGCCACAGATCTAAAACAAACCAGGAATGTACAAAACGCAGAAACGCGGATCTAAGACAGGAAATTAGCTTTGTTCCCCTAATTTGGAAATAACGTTTCAGAGGAACTCTTTCTTGAACCAAGGATGCCTTCTGCAAGCTGTATTTTTATTCTGAAACTGACAACAGTATTGTTACAGGTCTTTTATTTGTACTGCTTTCCTTGTTCTAAACATCGATATACATATATATACACACAAAACTACTATGCTCGTTTCTAGAGGTTTGGAACTAAACTACCCATCATGTTGGCTAGGGATGATGGGATCTTTCGTCTTCCTCCCCTCTAGCAGGACATCAGCTGGAAAAATGATTGGGGACTGTATTCCTCCCAGATTTTTCTCCGTGTTATTCAGTCTTGATCGTTAAGTGCCTGAGGTTTTATATCGTGATGCACTAAGCCACATTTAAACCATGGTGTCAGCACTTCAACCTGCATTTACTCTAGTGCTGACATAAGGAGGAGAAGAGGGGGCAGCTGGCAAGAGGACGCTTGACTTCTCACCTACTTATTTTCCCTGAAGATAATGTCCCCTAGGCGATGAGTTGGGAGGGGGGACATTCCTAGGAGCTGAAGTACTAGATATGGGGAGAGTGATTTGGAAGAGGGCCAATGGGACGCTGAGAATTGGGGAACAGAAAGGGAAGGTTTGGGGTCAGGAAGTCAGTGTTAGCTTCGTTTGGAGTCATGTTAGGATGTCGTGCTCAATAAATAGGAGTTTTTTCTTCAAAGATTTTGTTTGAAATGCATTTTATTCGAGACAACCACGAAACTTGACACATGGTTTCCTGAATACCCCACAAAGGGGCTGAATTCGCATCCCATCTAAGTCCCCCAAGCCTGCCCAAACCATCTATCTCTTCCAGCTAAGTAGATGGGCCAAAATGGAGATGAGCACTGCCCCATAGAGTTGGGAATGACTAGCACATATGTGCAAGAGAAACCTTTACCTTTTACTATATATACTATATATACTATATATATACTCTACATCTCCAAGCAATAATCATGAAATCACACCCCCTCACCTAGCTGACTGACTGGCGTGGCTCGGCGTGTCCACCACGGTGGGTTCTGGCGAGGGGCTCCGGGTGGGGGGAGGCGGGCTCTCAGGCTCCTCGACGTCATCAGGCGCCTCCTCCTTAATCTGGATGGAGGGGATGGTGCAGGGGGCCACCACAGGGACGTTTCCGCCGCAGGCCGCTGAGCTGGACACGGCCCCCTGGCTCGGAGCGCTTGGCACAGATGGCGGCGTGGAAGTCGACGGGCAGGAGGGAGGTGTGGCGGGAGGCGGCCCCCCAGGAACGAAGGGGTGCTGGGCGAAGGAAGGCTGGGGAGGAGCAGGGTGGCTCTGGGTGAGGACTGGCGGCTGGGCGGGGGAGGGTTGCAGGGGCTGGCTCTGGGGCATCAGCTGCAAGGGAGGGGGGTGCGCGGAGGGCGGGTGGTGGGTCGAGAGGGAGCTGAGCGGCTTCAGCGCAGGGGGCGGGGCAGGTTGGAGTTCATGGAGAACGGCGAAGGGCCCGAGAGGTGCTTGTGGGAAGGTAGCGTGGGGAGAGGCGGGATGGGCGTGGTGGGTGGGGGCTTGATGTGGGGCATGGCCATAGGGGCGGGGGGCAGGGGCTGCTCCCGGGGGCACTGGGAAGACAGCGGGGACGAGGAGGCCACTTGGCCAGAGGAGACCTGCAGGGCAGGGTGGGCCGGGGGAGGGAGGGGACCCTGAGACTGCGAAGAGGAGGCTGGCAAGGCCTGGGGCGGGAGAGTGAAGGGCTGTGCAGGGGCCGGGTGGGGCAAGAGGGGCTGTGCTTGCAGACCATGTGGGAGGGCCTGTATCTGGCCGTGGAGGGGCGGTTGAGGGTGCGGCTGGGGGAGGCCCTGGGGCTGGCCCGGGGGCCCTGCGAGTGGCTGCAGTGGCGGGTGAGGAGGGGAAGGCAGCCTGGGCGGGTGCAACGAAGGGACCTGCTGGATGTGCGAATGAGGGAGGCCCGGAGCCAGAGGCTGGCTGGGGGGCTGCGCTCCTGAAGGAGACACATGCGGGACGACGGTGGAAGAGGGGATGCTGGAGCCGGCCGGCAAGGAGGGCAGCTGTGCTGGGAGGGGCCCCGGAGGCTGAGTCGGGCCGTTGGGCGCCTGGAGAGACGACGGCTGCTGCTGGGCCGAAGAATCCGAGTCGCTCTCGTTGTCCTGCGGGCTGGAGATGCTGGGCGAGGTGCTGCGGTTATCCTGGTCGATGTCTTTGGGGTCGCTGCTGCCCTCGTCGTTCACGCTGCGGCTGTCGGAGCTCTCCCCTTCGCCCTCCGAGGGGGAGTTGGGCCGGCTGATCTCCTGCGGAGGGGGAGGAAGAAGAGGAGGGGAGGACATGCCGGAAGATTGGATCCTCCAGAAAGCTGCCATGGAGACGGAGGGGAGCTACCACAGGCCACAGGGGTCTCTTGAGCATCTCATGGCTTCCATCAGATCATGCCACCCCTGGAGGACAACCCAACCTCCCTGGTGCCCTTCGGAAAACCACCGTGGGCCTCCCCTAACCCTGGTGTCAAGATGGGCTTCCACCCACCCTAGCGCCAGCGGCTTCTTCTCCAAGGAACTCACCTGGGTTTTGGTTTTCTTGGCATTGATGCGGTCGGGCTCCTCGCTGTCGGACGCCGCCTTTTCTCGCTGCCTCTTGGAGCTCTTGAGAGGGGAAGAAGCCTCTTCTTTAATCTTCTGCCGCCGCGGAAGAAGAAGAAAAAAAAGCAACGTGGTTTAAAGGGAAGGCACAGGGCTAGCGGCGCCGGGTATCTGGCCTCCTAAAGGCTTCACCCAAGGGGTTTTTTTCCTGAAGTGGCGGAAGGAACAAGGAACGGAGAGCTGGAAGGAGATGGAGGCTTCAAGTGAAGCACCACCGCTGATGGGTTGAGAGGTTGGATTTCCAACAGGCTTCCCCAATGGAAGGTCAGTGGAGGGGAAGAAGGGAGAATGTCTGACTTGGCTGTAGGGTTTATTGTCCCCCCCCCTCTTTTTCCTCTTCTGCACTTTTCTATTGGAGTTTCTTTCACATGGCTTCAGGCTTGACACACAGCTTGGAGCCAGGGGTGGGCTTCAAACATTTTAGAAAGGGGTTCTCTCCCGGTTGCTGGGTGGGCGTGGCCATGGAGGGTGTGGCCTAATCGGCCTCCTGCACCAGGGTGGGGAGGGGATGTCTTTGCCCTCCCCGGGCTCTGGAGGCTTTTCTCGAGCCTCCGGGAGGGCAAAAACGGCCTCCCCAGGCTCTGGATGCCTGAAAAGGGTCCATTTCCGGCCTTCCCCAACTTCCAGTAGGCCCGTTTTTCACCCTCCGAGCCTCCGTGCGCACTCTGCATTTACCTGCATCCAAAACGGGCCGCATGGGGACTCCTGGGAGGGGAGGGGTGGCCAGGGTAAGCCAGGAGTGGGATTTGGGGATTCTCCGAACTGCACAGAATCTTAGCTAGAGGTTCTCCCGAACCCCTGCGAACCCCCAGCAGCCCACCTGTGCTTGGAGCTGAAGGGGGGGGGGGTTGTAAATAAAACAAACTCGTTTATTCTGGGTCAAGGACACCCTAACTGCCGGCTGGCTAGAGGTGGAGGAAGGAGTTGCCAGGCGACCAGCCAGTGCCTGGATTGGACAATGTGACTGTCCAATCACATTTGGGGGGAAAGTGAAACTTTTGGTTTTAATGAGGTGGAAAGCGCGGGAAATCTCAGAGTTGGCTTTCCACCAGCTAATGCCAAGATGATGTCTCCAAAATAAAAAACGGTTCTTTGAGAATCTGCCTTGGAATTCTGCTTGAAATGGGGTCATTACTTGGAATCCTGACACTCAAAGGATGACACGAGAAGACTCATAATCCCAGCTGGGTGATTCACTGGAAGCTGGCAAGATGAGGAACTCTGCGGGAGGGTTCAGAGGGGCAGGGAAGGGCCAGCTCCATCAGCCGCGTTTGTCTTCCCTACCCGCGAAGGAAAGCCAAAACTCTAATCACAACGTACTTTGGTGGATTTCTTGACCGAATCCGCCTTGCTGTCGTTACTGGACGTGCTGGCCGCGCTGGGTGAGTTACGGCCGCTGGATCGGATGTCCTCGTTGATGGGCGAGGCCCTCCCGTCTGGGCTGGTGGGTTGCTTCTTACGACCGCTGCGAAGTGTAGACATCTGCTGGTTAAAAGAGAAAGGCAAGGTCAAAGGCTGCTTCCGGGGAGGCTCGACCTTGACCGCCAATGTGAATAAACTGACTTTTAATTCTCTCCCAAAGCCATCTTGTGTTGGTCAAGCGACTGTTGGGTCTCCATCAAGGGCAATTCAAGTCTGGATCCAAACTTAGTGAGGTCTTGACCAGGTCATTTTGGGAGAAGATGGCTCAGTTCCATGGTTTCCACCATGTTAGGTCTGGTTCCAGCCCCGGAATGCACCTGGTGGCCCTTCTTCCATTCCTCAGCATTCAGGAAGGAAGCCACACTGTCACCCCAACGCTCCCTGGAGAACCTCAAAGTTCTCAAGTCCTCGGTAAAGCAGGGAAGCCAAAACAACTGAGCCTAGGAAAGGATAATGTGCGATGGGACCATTGCCTCTTGCTTTGTCCACCTGTTGAACATTATGAAACGAAGGACTTGGGGGGGGGGGGGATATGATAGCAATATTCCAATATTTGAAGGGCTGCCACAAATAAGAGGGGGTCCACCTATTTTCCAAAGTACCCGAAAGCAGGACAAGAAGCAACGGATGGAAACTAATCAAGGAGAGAAGCAATTTAGAATCAAGAAGAAATTTCTTGACAGTGAGAACAATTAATCAGCGGAACGACTTGCCTCCAGAAGTTGTGAATGCTCCAACACTGGAAGTTTTTAAGAAGGGATTGGACAACCATTTGTCTGAAATGGTATAGGTTTCCTGTTTGAGCAGGGGTTGGACTAGAAGACCTCCAAGGTCCCTTCCAATTCTATTACTCAATGTTCTATGTCAGGGGTATCAAACTCATATTCATTTGAGGGCTGTAGTTGGCCTTGGAGGGGTGGGGGGGGTGGCTGGCAGGTTTGGCTGACTGGGTGGGCGTGGCCGACTGGGTGGGCGTGGCCAGCTTGACGCCACTCCCCAAACTGCTGGGCCCTTTCCTCTTTGCATTCGGTAGACGGGCCGAAGCCACGCTTCAAGGTTTCTTCCAACTCTGTTATTCTGTTACTTTATCACAAAAATGGACTTACCGAGCCGCGACTCCTTCTCGTCCTCATGCTATGCTTCCCACTGAGACCGTCATCTTCCTCTTTGACCGGCTTGAACATAAAGGGCGGCGGGTCCACCGGCTTCTCGATGGGAGGGAGCTCTCCGTACTTCTTGAAGTGGATGCGACAGTCCGTGCAGAGAAGGATGTTTTCCCGGCCCCCGTGATGCCAGTCCTTGGAGGCTGTTAAAAAAATGTACAAAAAAAAAAAAAAAAAAAAAAGATGCGATCAACCCCGGAAGAACGAATCACAGATTTAAAGGGGGGGAAGGGGTGTTAGCCCTGGAACCATTTTTCTCCCTCCTGGCACTTTTAGGGCTGCCACAACAAAGCGAGTCAAGCTGTGGGAATGGGAAGGGGGAGGAAGAGATAGTGAGCGGGACAGAGGTGGGTTTCAGCAGGTTCTGACCAGTTCCGGAGAACCGGTAGCGGAAATTTTGAGTAGTTCGGAGAACCGGTAGTAAAAATTCTGAGTGGCCCCGCCCCCATCTATTCTCTGCCTCCCAAGTCCCAGCTGATCGGGAGGAAATGGGGATTTGCCTGATTCTGTTGAGGTAGCCGTGTAACAGTAAAGCAGAATTTGTTTCCAGTCTGGTCTACCTGGGGTCACACACCCGCTAGGTAAAAAATACGTACTGGTGGTGAAACAGTGACGACACGCATAGCCCTTCAGCTCCTGTTCGCTGTCCTCGCTGTCGAAATCATCTTCGCTGGCCGAACTCAAATCCACTAGGAGGAATTAAGAAGGGGACAGGGTAATAGATGCAAAGGAGCTTTGGCGCTAAGTGTACTTCGTCGGTTTGTACGGTTTTATTGGTAATACATATTTGAACCTTGTATTTTGATATGGCCTATAGGCAGGGGTGGGCTGCTGGGAGTTCGGGAGAACTTCTAGCTAAGATTCCGTGCAGTTTGGAGAACCCCCAAATCCCACTCCTGGCTGGCCCCGCCCACCCCACCCCTCCCCTCCCAGGAGGCCCCACACGGCCCGTTTTGGATGCAGGTTTAAGTGCAGGGTGTGCTCGGAGGGTCACGGAGGGTGAAAAATGGGCCACTGGAAGTTCGGGAAGGCTGGAAACGGGCCTGTTTCCAGCCTCCAGAGCCTGGGGAGGCCGTTTTGTCCTCCCGGAGGCTCAAGCAAAGCCTCTGGAGCCCGACTAGGCCACGCCCACCCAGCAACTGGGCAGAGAACCCCTGGCTAAAATTTTTGAAGCCCACCCCTGCCTATAGGCTAATCAATAAAGCTATATCTATCAATAATCAAAGGGGACAGGGAGAGAGAGAGAGGAAAGAAAGGAGAGGGAGAGGGAGGGAGGGAGGGAGAGAGAGAGAGAGAGGAAGCGCAGACAAAAAGAAACAAACTGATTCAGGGTATCTATCTTCCTTCTCCTTTTTTGGGGGGGCTACACAGCAAGGAGGAGCAGCACAGAATGTAATACTTATGTCTTTTTTCTACTGAATTATGTAAGGAAGAATAAAGAAACACCGCCCCCCGGGGCCATGTCTCTTTCCTCTGGACACTCAATTTTGTCCCCGCACTCACACCTACCGAAATTTCCCTGGCATTGTCTCCAACCTATACACTATACAGGTAGTCCTTGCCTGACAACTTTCCATTTGGTGACCATTTTAGAAATTAAAATAACATCGAAAAAAAGTGACCTATGACCGTTTTTCACACTTATGATCAGGGTGGATTTGATTTAAATCGACTCGATTTAAATCACAATTTAAATCATGATTTAAATCACTAGTAAAAATGCTTGTTAAATCCACTCGATTTAAATCATAATTTTTAAAGAGCAACTGTCATCTCTGCTACTCCTTTGACCGCTGTTGACTCACCGATAGTCCAGTGTTGCAGAATATACAGCCTCCTGCTACACAACTAAGCTCCCTTTCATCCTGAATAAACTAAATTTTATGTATCTTAAGAGAAAACTATCTTACGATAGATTTTTACCCCAAAAGTTTATTAAAATAAATTAGATAAAAATTAAAAAAATCCAATTTAAATAAAAAAAATCAGATTTAAATAAAAAATATCTGATTTTTTTAAAAAAAACATTGATTTTTATCCACCCTGCTTATGATTGTTGCAGCATTCCTGTGTCATGTGATCAAAATTAGGATGTGTCCCGGTGGGGGGGCGGGGGGGGGTTTGTCCTGCAATGCCCTTTTGCGACCTTCTGAAAAGCAGAATCGATGGGGGAAGCCCGATTCACTCAACAACCGTGTTACTAGCTTCACAACTTCGGCGACTCACTTTAACAAATGTGGCAGGAAAGTTGTACAACGGGGGCAAAACCAACCCACTTAACAACTGCCTCACTTAGCAATAGTGAATTCTGGATCAGTTGTGGTTCTAAGTCGAGGACTGCCGCTACTGCTGCAGCCATAAGGGCTAGAAACTTAAATTTTCTTTTTTTCAAGATGAAAGAAGTATATATTGTAGAGCAGGCTGAAGCAAGCCCCCCCCTTCAGTTGGGTTCTGCCTAGATGAGAGCAGGTGTAAAGCCTACCCTGTTTCCCCGAAAATAAAACCCAATTGGAAAATAAGCCCTAGCATGATTTTTCAGGATGCTTCGTAATATAAGCCCTACCCAAAAATAAGCCCCAGTTAAGATGGTCAGCCAGATGGATGCATTTATTGTATTTCCCCCAAAATAAGACCCAATTGGAAAATAAGCCCTAGCATGATTTTTCAAGATGCTTCTAATATAAGCCTACCCCAAAAATAAGCCCCAGTTAAGATTGTCAGCCAGATGAGGCATTTAGTATTGTATTTCCCCCAAAATAAGACCCAATTGGAAAATAAGCCTAGCATGATTTTTCAGGATGCTTCTAATATAAGCCCTACCCCAAAAATAAGCCCCAGTTAAGATGGTCAGCAGATGGATGCATTTAGTACCGTATTTCCCCCAAAATAAGACCCACCTGGAAAATAAGACCTAGCATGATTTTTCAGGATGCTCGTAATATAAGCCCTACCCCCAAAGTAAGCCCCAGTTAAGATTGTCAGCCAGATGGATGCATTTAGTACCGTATTTTCCCCAAAATAAGACCCAACCAGAAAATAAACCCTAATGCATCTTTTGGAGCAAAATTTAATATAAGACCCGGTTTTATTTTCAGGGAAACATGGTAGAAGCTGAGCCACGCAAAATATGTTGTGCAGGTGGCTAAATGCGTCACGCTCAGAGACAGACCGAGCGCCTGAGCACAGTTCCAGTTTCACAGCCGGGTCCAGCCCGAAGTGGAGAAAACCACGACTTTCTGTTTGACCCCATGCATCTAAAACAGAGATCGATCCCCCCATCCCCCACCCATCTTTTCAGTTTCCTACTTACAGAATTCGCTGGAAGGAGGCCTGGAGGGGGTGTTAACCGGAGTAGAAGCTGTCCGGGTCTTAATTCTTCGAAAGACGGCTTGTCGCCGATGCCTGCGGTGAGCCCGGGAACTGGCAGCTTCCGGGGTTTTCTTCCAATAGTAATAGAAGGTGATCAGTTCTCCCTGGGGAAAAAAAGAAAATGAGCGGGATCGCAAGGTTAGCCGAGAAAGTTAAAGAAAAGGAACATGATTTTTTTTTTTTTTGGAAAAATCAATTCCTTCAATTCTTTGTTTTTTAAGTTTTATTTTTATTTTTTTACAAAGATATCAATGCGTGAACACTGTAGCACCTGGGTGTCATACATTCTAATAAAAATAAAACTAGTAGAATTAATCATAGTTTTTTTTAAAAATTATTCATTTATTTTTATATGCCGCCCTTCTCCAAAGACTCAGGGCGGCTTACAATGCGTTAAGCAATAGCCTTCATACTTTTGTATATTTTATACAAAGTCAGCTTATTGCCCCCACAAACTGGGTCCTCAATTTACCCACCTTAGAAAGGATGGAAGGCTGAGTCGACCTTGAGCCTGGTGAGAATTGAACTCGCAGCAATTGCAGGCAGCTGGATGTTAAATGCTGCCTTAGCCACTCAGGCTCCTTTTACGTTTTAGTTATTACCTTCAATCAATTTATATATTTCTAATAATGATACACATTTATATGACGTTGCAGCCTGTCGTTATTCAATTATTCCCTGCTTCCTCTTGTTACTGCTTTTATTTTATTGTATAAAAGTGTATACACCGATATTCTCTTACTTCTATCTCTTATTCTAACTTTTGCCTTGGAACAGGGATGTGTCAAGGCCCACGGGATGGATCTGGTCCTGTGGGATGCTTAGATACTGGCCCAAGGTGCCACCCTGGAAGCAGAGAGGGACTGGCCTGGGATGCCTCTGCAAGTGAAAATGTAGCTCGGGAGGGCTGCCTCCACCACCCCCCCCCAGCTCTGTTTTCACTGGTAGAGGGTTGCAGGAGGCCGTCACAGCTGGAAACGGAGCTCAGGAGTCTGTTTTTTTTGCTGCCACCACAGGTACCCCCGACATGCGTGACGTCAAGTTCCCCCCCTCCCCTCAGGTCGAACACAACCTTGATGTGGCCCTCAATGAAACCGAGTTTGACACCCCCTGCCTCGGAGGGTAGGCCACGTTCTGCTCTCCTTTTCGAAGTTGCATTTCCGTATCCACCGAAAGTCTGTAGAGATTTTCAATTTCGAAATTTCAATTTCAAATCTTTATTCTCAGTGCACAATGTATGTACAATGAGATTGGTTGAGCTCCTTCAGTGCACACACCCCCACATCACAATACAACTCACAGTGAAGACAGAAAATCCCTAACTCAATAAATCGTATTAACAAAACACTCAGTCCTATTGTACCCGTGTGAACATGTTACACGTTGCACCGGCCCTGCAAGTCCATCGTACTACGTAGTTACAATGTTATTCAGTCATCCAGGTTATGGTTGTCCCAAAGGCGCTTGTTTTTTCCAAGAGGCCACTGGACTTTCTGTTGTTTTTTTTTTTCTTTGAAGACATTTTGCTTCTCATCCAAGGAGCTTCTTGAGCTCTGACTGGATGGTGGGGAATAATGGAAGGATTCAAAGCAAAAAGAAAGAAGTCAAGTGGGCTCCTGAAAAAACACCTTTGGTTCATATGAATGGTTTTGAACGGTTGGCATTCCCGGCACGAGAAAAAAGTTAACGTCCCTGGTCCCTCAAGTTTAATCCTTCGCATGAATTAAAAGCCTTAAAAATAGCTAAAATTAGATAATTAAAAAGAGGGGAGGGGAAAGGGAGCGGCAGCTGATAACCTGGGATTGAAAAAATAAATAAAAATCCAGTTCTACGATCTCCTGCTCAAAGCTCTTCCCACAATACGAAAGCCGTAAGAAGACGATCTATTTATTTTATTTATTTATTTACTTATTTTTTTTTGAAATCTTCATGTACGGATGTTCGGATAATTAGGCAATCAAAGGGCCCACCAGGAGAAATCGGCAGTAATCCCGCAGCGTAATGAATCTGGCTCGGGTTCAGAATATCAGATTCGAAAGAGAGAGCAGGTGTAGTGGGGAGTTTTAAAGCCTGGTGGATGGATTTCAACTCCGTGTGTGTGTGTGTGTGTGTTCTGACTTCTCAGAAGCCGACAAATCGGAAGGGACACTGCCTCCAATTGCCCACAAGAGGGTGCGTATGTGTCTCTCTCTCTCTCTCTCTTCCCCTTTCTTTCTCTGTCTCCCTCCCTCCCTCTCTCTGTCTCTCTCCCTGCCTTTATCTGTCTCTGTCTTTCTCTCTCTCTCCTCTCTTTATCTGTCTCTCTCTGTCTCTCTCTGTCTCTTTCTGTGTGTCTTTCTCTCTTTCTCTTTCTGTCTTTCTCTCTCTCTGTTTCTCTCTCTCTCTCTCCCTCTCTTTATCTGTCTCTCTGTCTCTTTCTCTGTGTGTCTTTCTCTCTTTCTCTTTCTGTCTTTCTCTCTCTCTGTTTCTCTCTCTCTCTCCCTCTTTATCTGTCTCTCTCTGTTTCTCTCTGTCTCTTTCTCTGTGTGTCTTTCTCTCTTTCTCTTTCTGTCTTTCTCTCTCTCTGTTTCTCTCTGTCTCTCTGTCTCTCTCTCTGTTTCTCTCTGTCTTTCTCTGTTTCTCTCTGTCTCTTTCTCTGTGTGTCTTTCTCTCTTTCTCTTTCTGTCTTTCTCTCTGTTTCTCTGTCTCTCTGTCTCTCTCTCTCTCTCTGTTTCTCTCTGTCTCTGTCTTTCTCTCTCTCTCTCTGATCTAACCAAGTCCGCAAACCTCAACCCCAACTGGCAGGTTGGGTCTCCTCTGGGTAGCTAACATTCATAGATGCCAAAATGAAGGTTTAGGCCAATGCCGGGCGAAGAAACCGGAGACAAGCCAGGAAATGCAGGTTTGAAAACTCGGTCTTGGGAGGGTGCAACCAGGCCCAACCTGCTCCCTTAATGGCGATTGTGTCTGGCTAAGGAATTAAATGCTGGAATAAGAGTAAATCCGGGAGGATTATAGGGTTCCTGGGTGGTAGGGGACTGCCGTGCAGACAAAGGACCCGTCAAGGAAGCTTTCGGGAAGCGGCAGACGGGGAAACACCCCCCCCCCCGTGAGTCAAGCCGAGGGAACATCAATCAAACACGCACTGCGTGTGCCCGCTGACACGGCTCACCCCTCGTGCATAAATCCAGGGGACAAAAGCCACCCGAAACATTAACGCAAGGAGTTGTGGATCAAAGGGAGGCCCTGGGTACAAATGGGGGGGGCCGCTTTGTAAATTAGCCAGCGGGGCCTGTTCTTTGGCGGCACAGAAGCCCACCGTCCGTCTGGCTGATCTCCCTTGCTTCCCCCCACCCTCCCAAGACCTGTCCTGCTCCTAAAATGTCCAGGCCCAAATAGAGACGGATCTCAACATCTATGGAGATACTCGGTCATACATGTTATAGTTGTCCCAAAGTTCTCCCCCCACCCCCCAAGAGGCGTGGACTTTTTTTCCCGCCTTTGAAGACGTTTCGCTTCTCATTCAAGAAGCTTCCTCGGTTCTGACAGAAGGCTGGAGAACGGAATATAAATCCTTCCATTCTCCACCCTTCAGTCAGAACTGAAGGAGCTTCTTGGGTGAGAAGCGAAAAGGTCTTCAAGGAAAAACAAAGTCCAGTTGGCTCGTGGGGGGGGGGGAAGCATTTTTGGGTGCCCCTCTAAATCTCTGTATCTCAGGTGATCCCTTTAAAACGTAAAGATGTGATCTGAAGCCAAGCTAGCTTTTAATGCTGGCTGGCTGGGGGATTCTGGGAGGAGAAGCCCATCCACAGTTGAGAAACACCTTGCGTGTGCCTAGTGATGCGTTTTACCTGTTGGCTGCACCACAGGTGATATCCTTTCAGATTAACAGATTATACAGAGTTGGAAGGGACCTTGTAGGTCATCTAGTCCAACCCTCCATCCAAGCAGGAGACCCCACACCATTTCTGACAAATCGCAGTCCGTCTATTCTTGAAAGCTTCCAGGGATGAAGCTCCCACAACTTCCGAAGGCAACTTCTGTTCCATGGGTTGATTGTTCTCACGGTCAGAAAATGTCTCCTTATTTCCAGGTTGAATCTCTCCTTGATCAGTTTCCATCCATTCTTCCTTGTCTGGCCTTCAGGTGCTTTGGAAAATCGCTTGACCCCCCTTCCTCCTCTCTGGGGCAGCCCCTCAAATACTGGAAGACTGCTCTCATGTCTCCCTTGGTCCTTCTTTTCATTAAACTAGACATCCCCAGTTCCTGCAACCGTTCTTTGTATGTTTTAGCCTCCAGTCCCCTAATCCTCTTGGTTGCTCTTCTCTGCACTCTTTCCAAAGTCTCCACATCTTTTTTATAATGTGTTGACCAAAACTGGATGCAGTACTCTAGGTGGGGCCTTACTAAGGCTTTATAGAGTGGTATTAGTACCTCCCTTGATCTTGATTGACTCCCTTTAGTAATGCAATTTAGAATTGCCTTGGCTTTTTTGGCTGCCGCTGCACACCACTGCCATCGATACAGGCACTACTATGGAAAGTTTTTAAGTAAGGATGTCCTGGGATGGGGCCTGCCCTATTCCCCAGCAAGCTATAGCTTTAATTTCCTACTACTTTTTTTTGTTTTTATTTAGTTGTTTTCTCACATTTACATGGCCGCCCATCTGCCCCGAAGTGAGTCTGGGCAGCGTAGGATAAACTCACTTCCGGCAACAGTCACTCCAGATGCTTTCAAAATTCAAATGAAGAAGTAAATAAATAAATACCGATTTTTTTCCTTTGGAGACATGGATGAAAAGACGGATTTTCGGCTCTGATAAAAGAAGATTTTTAAGGCTGTTTTGGAAGAAAGATGCTGGGCCTTGTGGGCGACACTGCCCCCTAATGGCAGAACACAGCATTACGTGCCTGAACTTGGAGCAAAAGAAGGTTTCGGAATATGTTTGCTAAAATTAGCGACAACCGGCTGTGCTATATTTACACACAAGCCAGAAAAAGACCAGCCGTATGACAGGAAGGGAGAAGAGAAAGAATGACTAATGCAAACCAGAACAGGGAATTATTATTATTATTATTTTAAAAAGTAATTTAGAAGCACCAAATTGAAAAGATGAAAACGGGGG